CATCTATATCCTCATCCTCATCCTCTTCACCCTCCTCAACCATATCCTCATCACTATCTTTCGAATATTCAACAGTCATGTACATATAGTCTTCAAATGCCTCCTCGCAATTAGCAGTAACCTCACCCCAGAGAGACTCAAGCTCGCAATTGGCAGTAAGCTCACCCAAGAGAGACTCGAGCTCGCCGGTGGGGTCCAAAACAACACCCGGATGTGCCATATTGGATCAATTCAAACCCTAATTGAAAAGAAAGAAAATGTGTAACTAAACCCTAATGAGCAGTGAATGTGATCAACTCAATAAGGAGAAACAAAAATAATAGCAACAAACAATATAAGTATAAAATGAAAACTGGAAACAAAGAGCGTACTCACGGATATATGAAGACACGCATCAGAGGCTTCGCCGTTCGTCAATAGGATATGGAAAATACAGAGAATCACAGACACAGGAATTCGTGAATTTATAGGGTTCGGGGTTGTGTCGTGTGGACGTGATCCACCTGTTTTTCTGTTTCTGGGTGGGTGGGCTTGTACAGCCCTTTTTGTATAGAGCCTTTTGCTAAAATTCGGTTAACCAATTTTTAAATAATATGCCTTAAAAACCTTTGGCTCCGTCTGATACAGTTTTTTAATAGGAAATATATTTTAGGATTGGATTATAAAAATGCGTTAGGTACATTATTGAAAAACATTTTCTGAAAATATTTAGATTATTTTTAATCTTCTATATTTGTTAATTTAGCTAAACATTCCTTAATAAAAATTTATAAATTAACAAAAACATGTAAAAATACATTCATATTCCAATATTCATATAAAAGTTGATAATACAATCAATTTCATCATAAAATCTTCATGGAATATATGCGGAAGTAAATGACAAACCTCTAGCCATAACAATTGTTGTTTAATCTTCTTGCTCCTTCAAAATACAGAATCTTTCACTGACTGCAATTTTAGAGTGATGGTTTTTTGAATCTAAAATAAAAATTGCGTCTAATGGGGACCTGTAAAGTCTCCTTTTTATATGCAGTTGTCTTTCCATCAAAGAGAATTGCCCAAGAGAAGAGATAGAACCGTATGACCACATCAATCCACATCAGCATAAAAACGTAGGACCATAATGTAATTATATTAAAAGTGTTGGACCGTAATGCAAAAGTCTAACATTCTTCCACTTGGTCCAAACTTTTATAATATAATCCAGAATACAAGAGATGTATATGCGATATGTTCAATTAGAAAGAGGAAATTACATGAATCATAGCGGTAAGTCCCGTTTAAACAAATATTACGTTCCATGTATTACAATGCAATTTTTCTCTTTCTAAATAAACGCTTAAATGTGGAATATCACTTTATGAACAAACTTCAAATGTTTGTTTCAGGTCCTCTAGAATGTTTGTTTGTCTCCAACCAAAATGTATACAACTTAAAAGAGAAAACAAACTAAATTACAAAGTTTTAGACAATGAAAGTATTGCCTCTCATAGTGACAAAGCAGGAGATAGTCCCATTTGAACAACATGATCCTTGAACGTCTTTGGTGGCATGCCTTTTGTTAGATGATTAGCAATCATCTGCTCGGTATGTGTGTGTTCAATGAGCACTTCTTTGGCTTTAACGTGCTCCCTTATTGCTAAGTACTTAATGTCGATGTGTTTACTTCGACTTCCACTCTTATTATTCTTAGCAAAGAATACAGCAGCTGAATTGTCACAATATAACTTTATTGGCCTAGAGATAGACTCAACAACTCCAAGCCCAGAAATGAAACTTCTCAACCAAATACCCTGTGTAGTTGCCTCAAAACAGGAAACAAACTCAGCTTCCATGGTAGAAGTGGCAACTAAAGATTGTTTGGCACTTCTCCAAGATATAGCACCTCCGGCGAGCATAAAAACATATCCGGATGTTGATTTTCGAGAATCAACGCATCCAGCGAAGTCTGAGTCTGAATATCCGACGACTTCTAAAATGTCGGAACGTTTATAAGTAAGCATGAAACCTTTAGTTCCTTGAAGATACCTCATGACCTTCTTTGTAGCTCTCCAATGATCCAAACCTGGATTACTTTGATATCTTCCTAACATGCCAACTGCAAAAGCGATGTCAGGTCTAGTACAGACTTGAGTATACATTAGGCTTCCAATAGCTAAAGCATAAGGAATAGTTTTCATTTGTTCCTTTTCAATCTCAAGTGTAGGACATTGGTTCAGATTGAACCTGTCACCTTTAACAATGGGTGCAACACTGGGTGAACAATTTTTCATCCTAAATCTCTCAAGAATTTTATTAATATAGGCTTCCTGAGATAGTCTCAAAATATGTTGAGACATGTCCCTATGAATCTTAATGCCAATGACATAAGACGTCTCACCCATATCCTTCATACTAAAATGTTGAGAGAGAAATTGTTTCACCTCATGTAGCAAACTCAAATCATTGGTTACAAGTAGAATATCATCTACATATAACACAAGAAATATGATTTTACTCCCACTGACCTTGTGGTATATACACTGATCCATGATATTCTCTACAAAACCAAATGAAGAGATAACAGTGTGAAATCTTAAATACCACTGACGGGAAGCTTGTTTAAGTCCATAAATGGACTTCTTAAGCTTGCAAAACAAATGTTCACCATCACTTAAAATGAACCCATCAGGTTGTTTCATATAAACCTCTTCCTCTAAATCTCCATTGAGAAAAGCTGTTTTCACATTCATTTGATGTAAATCTAAATTGAAATGGGCAACTAATGTTATTATGATACGAAATGAATCCTTTTTAGAAATTGGAGAAAATGTTTCTTTATAATTTATTCATTCCCTTTGCGTGAACCCCTTGGCAACAAGTCTAGCCTTGTATCTCTCAATGTTGCCTAATGAATTCTTTTTGGTTTTAAATACCCATTTACAACCAATAGGTTTCTTTCCAGTAGGCAACTCAACAAGGTCCCAAACTTCATTATCCGCCATATAATTCATCTCGTCTATCATGGCATTATTCCACAACTCAGATTTACTATTGTTCATAGCTTGTAAAAACGTGTCTGTATCATCCTCAATACCTATGTCACAGTCAGACTCTTGCATATACATTTCATAATCAGTAGGAATTGCCGATCTCTTTGTTCTAGTAGATCTCCTTAATGTTGTATCAACAGTCTCTTCTTGAGACTGTTGCACAACTGGTTGTTCCTTCTGTAGCGGAGGTTGTTCAAAATGATCTTTTTAAACAATCTCATCAGAATGTGGATTTTGATTGAGTGATTCCTCATTATTCACCCTGTTTGGATGAACAACCAATCTTTTACTTAATGTAGGAGCATAGTCTAAAACATCAATTTTCTTAGAGACTGAGTCTCTGATTTGATCACTCCCACTGACCACATCATTTTCAAGAAATTTGGCATTTCTTGATTCAACAATTCTACTGGAATGGTTCGGACAATAAAACTTATATTCCTTGGATTTTTCCGCATATCCAATAAAATATGCACTAATAGTCTTAGGATCTAACTTCCGTTCTTGTGGATTATAAACTCTAACTTCAATTGGGCAACCCCAGATGCGTAAATGACTTAAACTTGGTTTCCAACCCTTCCATAATTCGAATGGCGTTTTGGGAACCGCCTTAGTTGGAACTCGGTTTAATATATATGTTGCAGTTTTGAGAGCTTCAATCCACAAAGAATGAGGAAGTTTGGAGTTACTTGGCATACTCCGCACCATATCCATTAATGTTCTATTTCTTCGTTCTGCTACACCATTCTGAGATGGCGTGTCAGGCAAGGTGTACTGAACCACAATACCTTGCTCTTGAAGAAATTTAGCAAATGGACCAAGTGCTTGTCCTATACCAGTGTATCTACCATAATATTCACCACCTCTATCAGATCTCACGATCTTAATTTGTTTTCCACATTGTTTCTCTACTTCTGCTTTATATATTTTGAAAGCATCCAACGCTTCATCCTTGTGATAAAGCATATAGAGATACATATATCGTGAGTAATCATCAATAAAGGTGATGAAATATTTCTGACCACTAGAGCTCATGTCAGGGCAACAAATATCTGTGTGTATGATTTCTAAAAGTTCAGAACTCTTCCTGGCACCCTTCTTGGATTTGTTAGTCTGCTTTCCCTTAATGCAGTCTACACAAGTATCAAAGTCAGTAAAGTCAAGAGTTTCAAGAACTCCAGCATTTACCAACCTTTTAATCCTATCAATGGAGATGTGTCCTAATCTCCTATGCCACAAAAAAGAAGAGTTTTCATACATAATAGTACGTTTCATACCAGTGTTAGCATGTGAAGTCATAAGACTATAAGGAACAGTATCACTTAAATGAATTTTAAACAAACCATCAACCAAAGTACCATTTCCAACAATAGATGAGTTCTTAAATTAAATTAAAAGAACTACCATAAATGTTGAAAGAGTATCCACAAGGTACAAGTTTAGAAACTGAAATTAAATTCCTAGAAAAACTAGGAATATAAAAGGTTCGTTCCAAATCCAAAGCATAAATAGTACTTAAAATAAGTCTAAATGTTCCAATAGTTTCAACACGTGAAGGCATCTTATTTCCCGAATAGATGCTGCATTCACTTCCCAATGGCTTCCTTTGATCCAAAAAACCCTTTCTTGTCAAGCCAGGCCTTCCTCTTAGGACAATCCTTCTTCATGTGTCCCGTCTTTTTACAGAAGAAACACTTGATATTGTCCTTATTACCTTTGCTCATAACCTCATGCAGCTTGCCTTTTCCCTTCCACTTCTTATTCTTGTTTGAAGTGTACTTGACATTTCCTATCACCAGATGTGCAGTTTTATTCACTTCCTAAAGCAGTCTCTCCTACTCCTGAACACATATGGTCAAAAGCTCATTGATTGACTATTTATCCTTCTGTGTGTTATAAGATATCTTAAAAGGAGTATAATGAGATGAGAGAGAGTTCAGGATATAATGCACCAGGAAATCATCATTAATCACCATCTAAAGAGATCTCAACTGAGCAGCAATGTCCCTCATTTTCATAATCAGTGAACTTCATAGATGTCAATCTACTCATTAGGATGCTACCTAATGCCTTGTCTGATGTTTCAAATTGTGCATGAATTGCATCTATCAGATCCTTGACATTTTCACACTCCGGTATCGACCCACGGATACTAGTCGTAATGTGAGATTTAATAAACATCATGCTTAAATGGTTAGATCGCTCCCACCGTTCAGACAAAGCAATCTCAGCTTGAGAGCTAGTATCTGTAGGTGTAGGTGGCTCTTCCTTACGAAGAGCATAGTCAAGATCAATGCACCCTAAATGAATAAGGATAGCCTCTCTCCAGGATTTGTAGTTATCACCATTTAAATTAGGAACCTTATCCTTAACCATCATCAAAGCTTGATCAATTGTAGGTATATCAATAGACATGCTCACTAAATAAATTATGAGGCACAAACCATCAATAACAATTATAAGTTTACCAATGTAAAACAAATAATAAATCATAAATGAATTCGACATATCATAAAATCTCCCTGTGGGTAAAGACATTACATATTATGATTTATTATCATTTAATGATGAAACTAGAAATTATTAATATTTCATAATACCTGTGGGCTAATTAAGAAATAAGAATAATTTATATTTCATCCCTAATTAATCATGAAAATATAACATTCCCTGTGGGTAAAATGATTATATTAATATGATTAACTACAAAACGATCTTATTAACCTTAATATGATCATAACTAATATTACTTAATGCATATATTATCATAATTTAGATGTTGCGGCTACTCTAAATTAATCAAATATATACGATCATAAAACATCAAATAATTTATAACATGAATTATATAATACAACACAAATCAATACAAGAATAACACATTATTTATGCATAACAAACAATATATGACATAAAAACCATCATACACGCTGTCACCGACTCCCACGCGCCACCGTGGCTCAACCACGTGTCCCCACGTGCCTTCACGCGCTGCCAGAAAGCAACACACACTCCCACGCACCTACACAACACTACCACACACCGTCATGCGCTTGAGTACACATCCTCACGCGTCTGACGCAAGCACAAGCTCCCTCACGCGCTAGCACGTGCTGGGTCCTAACCAGGGTTGGTTTGACCCATTTGACTAGGTCAGGTTGACCCGGTTCTATCCATTGGGCCGGTCTAAACTGCTTGATCGGTTCGTTGATCGGTATGTGCCCTTTTACCAATTCATTGACCGGTCTGACCTGTTGTCTGGGTCGGGTTGACCTATCGGGTTTTGGGCTAGTTTGACCTGGTCGTTTGACCCGTTTTGACTTTTACCTTTGACCGGGTCAGTTTGACCCGTTTATCCTATTGGGTCGGTTCATCTTAACCTGTTTTCTACAACCTTTTACCCAGTTCTGCAGATTTTCAACAGCCCGTTTCCAGCCATTTTTCCAGCGTTTTAGAGGGGAAACTTGAATGTGGACATATAACCTATAACGGTGACATCCCAAATGACAATTTCGTCCTAAATCGGTGCCGTAAATGGCTTTCGAAAACACCCATACGATGATTTCTAACTAAAACTTTAAACTAGCATAACTTTGCAACCAGAACTCCGTTTTTGACAAATAATATACCCTTGGAAAGATTTTTCAACAAGGATTCCAATGACATCAAAATCGAAAATAGATTCTATTTATAATAAAAGTTATGCTTGATTTACAGTACGGGTTTTAATTGAAAAATCCCAAATTTTAAGCAATATTTTATAGATTTGCAACAAACATTTTCATGCTAGGCAGAGATTCAAACAATGCTCTGATACCAAAATGTAAAAAATACATTCATATTCTAATATTCATATAAAAGTTGATAATATAATAAATTTCATCATAAAATCTCCATGGAATATATGCGGAAGTAAATGACAAACCTCCAGCCATAGCAATTGTTGTTTAATCTTCTTGCTCCTTCAAAATACAGAATCTTCCACTGACTGCAATTTTAGAGTGATGGTTTTTTGAATCTAAAATAAAAATTGCGTCTAATGGGGACCTGTAAAGTCTCATTTTTATATGCAGTTGTCTTTCCATCAAAGAGAACTGCCCAAGAGAAGAGACAGAACCGTATGACCACATCAATCCACATCAGCATAAAAGTGTAGGACCATAATGTAATTATATTAAAAGTGTAGGACCATAATGCAAAAAGTCAAACAAAACACTCTCACCCACTCAATCGACTGTTGACAGCCGGCCACCACCGCTAAACAGTGGCTATCAATAGCCGAAATGGTGCACGACTGGCTGGACTAGTCGGTCATGCGCCGATCTTGCATTTTCCAGCCATATCCACCGTGGATCTGGCCGGAAAATGCCAGATCTAAGGCTAAAATCTGGTCGTCATCAACGGCCAGATAGATTTAGTCATCAATAGTTGTTTCCAACCAGATCCACAATGGATCTAGCCGAAAAAGATAAGATCGGCACACAACTGACTAAATCTAGTCGGTCATGCATTGTTCTAACACCAATGATCAGCGATGGCAGCGGTTGGCGACGACGATGGTTGCTGGTGAGTGATAGTGAATTGGTGGGTGGAAGTGTTTTTGCTAATTTGAGATAACTTGTACAAGATCATGATCTGAGCATTACAGAACACATGGTCGGAATACTTGTACAAGATCATGATAAAGTGGAAACCATGGTCGCAGAACAAGAAATATAAATTGAACACAATCAACATATTGAAGTTAAATATTTTAGAATAAGATGCAATTAGGAATTAAAGCAAAGCAAATTGTTAAGAGAATAAATTTTGTTCTAGAGGTTTAATATGTTGAAATTGAAATAGAGCAACAAACAACTATTCAAGGCAAAGAAATTGAATTATTTACAAGGCAATGTTTTTAGCTAACAACGGAAAAAAGAAATAAAAGAATGAGTATTATCCACCGAAAATCCCAACTATGAGGATGAGTTCTTTTCAAGTGAAGGGGTTTGATTGATGTAGGATAATTTTCCTAATAAATCTAGGAAATTAATTTTAATTACTTTTCTTATTTGGTTTACCTTATTTTACTAGTTTTTTTTATTTCCTTGTTTTACTTATCTTATATAAAAAAAACATGTAATTATTATTATAAAACATTTTCTTATAGAAAAACATGTAATTATAATTGAGATTGATTGATATCACACTCATCCACTTTATTTAAAAAAGTATTAAAAACATTCTTATTTTTATTGATATGTTGTGGCTCCATCCAGTTTTCAAATTAGAAGTCTATTTTACCCTTCCCTCACTTGCAAACTCAACAAATTTCTTAAATCTTTTACTTAATAAATATCCAAATCCATAAAATCAACATTGAACTTACAATTATATTTGTTAGGGAAGGTTACACATTTATATAACAAAATTTAGGTAAAATAAAGTATTTTCCTTCAAAAATAATTAAAATGAAAATCATAAATAATGTGTCAGCTATTTTACCAGTTTAATGTTTTATAAAAACAATAAGGCAAAAGGAATATAAAAATATATTTTAAAGTTGGTAACAGATGGGAAGGGATAAAATAGACTTTTAATTTTAAAATTGTATGGAACCCTCATATATCTGTAAGAGCATGGGTGTTTTTACTACTTTCGGAATAAAATGGGTGGATTTGATATTAATTAATCTCATAGGAATAAAAGAAATAACCAGATGGAAGAAATTTATCAATTAAGGCTAATGAGGGGTCTCCAAATGTGGAGGGAGGTCAGGTCAATTTTTCATACTTTGGGGGTGTGAGTATCTCAAAATTAAACCTCACGGGAGGTGTGGAATAATAGCCCCAATATAATTGATACTTGTGATTGATCCTATAAGTGAAATTTCAGCATTATGTATCCTAAATCAATATGAAAAAATCTTAAGTGATTTAGATTAATTTTCATAATAATGATCCCAACAAGTGAACAAAAACATCTTCTGTTTTTTAATCTAAATAGGATAACAGAAAAATGATTCTAAAGAGTGAAACAAACGAGGGCAAACAGATTCGTACAACTTTCCTTAGAACAAATTCTTCTTCTTGTTATTTCATTATTATTATTTTTTTCTTCCTAAGAGAAAATGTCTTCTTTCCGCTATCTATTTGTAGTTGCTCTATTTTGGAGTCAAGCGTAACTTCATCCCTCGAGGCGAAGGTTGATTCAATCATCCTATCAATCTATCAAACCGAGTCGATCGTGATGAAGGGGGTCTAGAGTTCGAATACCAAATTCTGGGTCGAGTAGGGACAGTCAAGCTGGACAGTGGGCCTTTTGTAGGAATTGGGTTAAGCAATGAGCCTTTTGTGAGCTTGAGTAAAACCCTCCTTGGAAAACCAGCTTACCAAGGGAGGGTGTCCAAGCCATTTATAACCCACATGCCCACATTTTTCCTTTCCAATGAGGGATCCTAACACACGCCTAATCAAAACTTCCCATCCTGACTATGCTTTTCAAGAAAAGAAAAGCAGTATTTCCTCAGCTTCGTCATTTTGTCATTTTCTAAGAGGATTGAATGAGCCAATTTGAGATCACATTTTACAACTTGCAGATCCCATACTTACTTCAGTTAAGTGGGATGAATGAGATGATTATGAAAAAGAGAGCCGATTGCTGGAACAAGGCATGAGATGTTTACCTGCCCTGAGTATTCAACACCGCTTGAACCAGAGGACTTCGCTATTGCCTCTACTTTCTCTTTAAAACTAATATCCAGAGGATACAAGAACTTCAGTGGCTGTGCCACATTCTCACAAGCCTTTTGAACTGCAATTCCAAGGTCTACTTGAAAATCGTGATACAGAAAAACTTGTAGTTAATGGAAGCGACAAACTAGTTCTTATAGGTTTGGTTTTATTACATAAAAACATACAAAAGAAGCCTAACTCAGAATCGTACTACAAGTAGCCTTTCATGAAATTTCTAATATATTGAGAATTTGTCTCCTCTCTTGGCTACAATATATCATTTAGTTTGCCCGACACGTAAGTTCATGAAGTTCTACTGTCAAAGATGAACCAGATACATATATTAGAATAAAGCAACCAGGGTTCATGCACAGTGACAATTGAAACTTTCTGTAGAATTAGGGCTACTGCAATGAGTTTTGGCTCAGAAAAATAGTAAAGTGCTTTAAAGTAGACCATAAGACATTCATGCTCTAAGAACAGGGAAACTGTGGGAAACAGCATAATATTTGATATTCTCTGATAAAGGCATAATGTGTGTAGAATGTTAAGAACCAGAGAACTCAGTTGTGTCATGGTTGTTAGATTAATGCATTTTGCGCTATCATTAATTTATTTTAAATTATGTAGTTTGAAGAGTGAAGATGAGGTATATTCTTCTTAGTTTACTGAATCTAATGTTGGTAAGTGACTACCTTT